CGCTGATCAAAAATCCAAAATGGCGGCCAAGTGCAACTAGCCTATTGGAGCCTTCTTATACTGTCTATGATTGGAGCCACACACACGCACACGCGAGCTGTTGAATCTGCGCCGGGAGCGATATTTTTTTTCACAGGATGGTAGGGGAAGACTCATGAATATTCATTAGGGAACTCATCCCTGATTGGTCTTAACCCCAGTGACTGGAAGGTTTAGGGGCGGGGTTAGGGGTAGGTCATCAGACCCCCAGCGACGGGTAGGTTTAGGGGCGGGGTTAGGGGGTAGGTCATCAGACCAATCAGGGATGAGTTCCCTAATGAATATTCATGAGTCTTCCCCTACCATCCTGTGAAAAAAAATATCGCGTGCCGGGAATAGCAGCTCATTTGCATTTAGAGGGTCACACGCGAAACAATTGCTGCGTCCCAATTCGCCTACTTATACTACGCCCTAAAAGTATGTACTCTTTTTGTGAAGAAAAAGTACATACTTTTGAGTGTGTAGCAAAAGAGTAGGCAAGCTTTGGGACATACTACTTCATCATCTTTAACGGACAGATCTGTCGCGTGCATCCTGTCACCGTAAACTGCCCTGTCAATCATCTCGTCACAGTTAAAATCCTCCATTCAATCTAATATAACTTCTTACCATTTCGGAGAGAATTGTTGTCGCACGTTCATCTGCCTTTCATGGGTCTTTCATGCGGAGACTCTCCTCATGTGTTTGGAATTTGAATATAATAATGCATTTAAAAGTTAATGGCTAAATGTATCTTTGCAAAAGTTCACAATGCTGCTGCAGATGCAATATAATGTGGACAACATTGAATAAATACATTTTCGTCAGGTTAGATACTGATAATTAATCACTCAAACCCCTTTATCTAAACCTCTCTGCGCGTCCTCCATGTCTGTAGTTTTTGAACACTTTTCATTCGTGTTTGTAGTTCTAACCGAATCCTCGTCCAACGCGCGATGGGTTGTGGGCAATATCAGCCGTTAGAGTGCGCATCGATCTGCACTTCAGATTCTGACCGGATATAGTAGACCATCCGGGTCTCTTTGGGACACTCGTTTAAACATACTACGATTTGGGACATACTAATTCTATTTTCGAATACTATTTAGGACGGATAGTATGCGAATTGGGACGCAGCAAATGTGTTTTTACTGACTCTCATGCTGTAAAAAAAATATCTGTGGGGTATTTTGAGCTAAAACTTCACATACACAAAGCGGCATTATACCAGCCCCTTTTTTTTGGGGAACTTTATTTTTATACATTTGAACAAATTACAAAAACGTTCAACTAAACAAATTACAACTAAACATTCCTTGTGGTCCAAATAAAAGAGATACAGAAATAGAAAAAGTGAAAAATGAACTAACAATGCAAATGCTTTAACTTAGATTAATAAATTATTTTAATACATGTTTATATAATATAGCAGTTAAATGCATTATGAACAAACATGAACAATAATATTTTTTTTTATAAATAAACATTAACCTAGATTCATGTAAAATTTTAAATGTTTAGTTCATGATGCCTAATGAGTTTATTGTACAGTGTTACAGAAGTTTATATAAGGTTTTGTACATCAGTGGTTCTTAACCTTTTTTACTTCAAGGCTCCCATTATCCGGCTGCTCCCGACGAGCTGGATGGCGCCTTGCATGGCTGCCGTCGCCCGTCGGTGTATGAATGAGTGTGTGAATGGGTGAATGTGAGGCAAATGTAAAGCGCTTTGGTGGCCATTGGGTCTGTGAAGGCGCTGTATAAATGCAGTCCATTTACCATCCATAACAATTTTCATCCTCATGACTTTTCCAGTTTTTCATGATTAATTTGATAAGCATTTTTAAAAAATACTTTACAGATTATTTGTACCATAATAAAATATTTTAGAGCTTGGCAAAACTAATTTTATTTTAACGTTTAATATAAAATTCCCTGGGAGATTATTAATTTACGTGACTTTTCCATGTCTACAAATCTCACTTTTAAAATAAGGCTTTCTCGTATATCCAGGTATATCCAAGACCTTAGTAATCTTGTTTCTTGAAAGAAAATACTTAAAGGGGTGAATTAAAATATGAAATCTCTTTATTTTTAGTTGTTTTGGGTTGTTTTAATGCCTGTTTTGTCTTATTTGAAATAGTTTTGTCATCTTGATTCTTCACTTAAAGGGGATTTTCTCAGCGATGGCATAGACGAACCATTTTTGTTTCCCAAAAAAAACCTTTCAGTGAACAGTTCTTAAAGGGATAGTTCACTTTGAAATACATTTTTGGTATTTTTTAGCTTACCTCAAGGGCATCCAAGATAGGTGTCTTTGTTTCCGCAGTAGTTTCAATTTTGATATTTTTAGGTCAAACCGTTCTTGTCTGTCAGTCATATAATGCAGGTCTATGGTCACCACCTCAAAGAGCATGCACAGAGAAGTCCGAATTAAACATGATTTAATGACTCGTAAATGTAAGTACACATTGATGGCCTAAGACACGAAACGAGCGGTTTGTGTGAGAAAACAAACAGTGTTTATATCATTTTTACCTCTTGTAACGCACAGACCGAAGCGCCCGCGCCCTCAGATCACTTGGACGTGGCTGTGGTTACAAGAGGTAAAAACGATATAAATACTGTTCGTTTTCTCACACAAACTGCTCGTTTCGTGTCTTAGGCCATCAATGTGTACTTACATTTACGAGTCATTAAATCGTGTTTAATTCGGACTTCTCTGTGCATGCTCTTTGAGGTGGTGACCATAGACCTGCATTATATGACTGACAGACAAGAACGGTTTGACCTAAAAATATCAAAATTGAAACTTCTGCGGAAACAAAGACACCTACATCTTGGATGCCCTTGAGGTAAGCTAAAACATACTAAAAATGAATTTCAAAGTGAACTATCCCTTTAAAAGAACCATTTGTTCTTACTGTGTTTTAATGTGCAGATAATTTTTCAAATCCTAAAAACATTTTTTCTCTATAAAGAACCTTTTATGGAACCTTTTATACAACCTGGTTCTACCTTTACGAATACAAAAGAGCAATGACTGATCATAATGACATTTAGTTGGTGTAAATCATAAACACTCATCCAGATGGAGCTATATGCTTAAATAAAATTCCCTCAGGATTCAGCTCTTGCGCAATATATCTATGAATTGTCCATAAGGGAGAACTTGGAATACTTCTTTTATAGTGCAATATAATGCTTGGAAAAACTCTTTTGTTTCAACAGAGGACACACTTCAAAATATTTTACCTGGTGGAAACATTAGTCTCGAATTGCCATCTCTGTGTGTTTGGAGGGGTGTATTGAGGAATGGGTACATGTACATCACTTCTGTGCTCTTTTTAGTCTGAGCCAATCAGAATAATCTGCATTATAGGTCACTGTCCAGCTGGACAGGATTCAAATAGCATTGCAGGACTGGCTGGATCAATGAGTTCTGAAAGAAAGTGGCCCTGTTTACCCGAATTCACCCTATTTATCATAACAGCTGCGCCGTTGCTTTAAACGCTTACTGTAAGAATCATGTGATGGGTGTAGAGGATAATTCTTAGTTGCATACGCAAAATGTGTATTTAAATCTTGTCTGTTGTTTTCACAGTCGATTAGAGGAAGTGCAATCTGGGGAGAACAATAATGATATTTGCATATGACAAACAATATGGTTATCTCATCTGCTTTTTCGGGGGATTCCCTAAATTTACAGCATAACGGAAATAACTGTCTGTTTCTGAGGAACATCAGTTGTAGAAGGACTAACAGCTTTAACAGCACTGGATGATTCATCCATGTTCAAATAGGCAGCTGTGGCTGTTTTCCGATTTATGACGTGGGACTTCAGCTCAAGGTTAAATAAAAAGTTAAAAAAGAACATATATATAATAGAAAATAGAAATCGTTTGTAACAATATACACTACCATTCAAAAGTTTGTGTAGTTACCATTCAACTTTCTTTTTTTTGAAAGAAATTAATACTTTTATTCAGCAAGGATGTGTTAAATTGATAAAAAGTGATTGTAAAGATTTATATTAGAAAAGATTTATATTTTGAATAAATGCTGTTCTTTTGAACTATTTATCAATGAATCTTAAAAAAAGTATCACAGGTTCCAAAAAAAATATTAAGCAGCACAACTGTTTCCAACATTGATGATAATCAATATCAAAACAATATCAAATAAGCATAGAATGATTTCTGGAGGATCATGTGACACCGACAACTGGAGTAATGATGCTGAAAATTCAGCTTTGCATCAAAGAAATAAATTATATTTTAAAGTATATTAAAATAGAAAACCATTATTTTAAATTGTAATTATATTTCACAATATTACTGTTTTGTTTCTGTATTTTTGATCAAATAAGTGCAGGCTTGATTAGCATAAGAGGCTAAAGTATTCTTGACCTGTACTATATATATACAGTATAATGATTGTAGTGCATCATGGTTTCCACTAAAATATGAAGCTACAAAACAGTTTAACAAAATAAAAATAAATGTTTCTTGAGCAGCAACATATTAGAAGGACTTCTGAAGGATCATGTGACACTGGAGACTGGAGTAATGGCTGCTTTGCCATCACAAGAATATTTACATTTTAAGATATATTAATTTTAAATTGTAATATATTTCACAATATTATTGTTTTTACAATATACATACTTACTGTTAGCCAGAATAACCGTCTTCTATTCACTGTCGTGTGGTGGAAAAATGCAGAGAAAGTGAATGGTGACCGAGGTTGTCGTCGCTGCTGTTTTGTCGTTGATAGATACAGGAATTCCTTTATACGTTACCTGCTGTAATTAGGTTTTTAAATGATTGATTGTAATTTGTGTGTTGTGTTGTTATATGTGTTGTTATATGTGCATGTGTATACTGCTGTCTACACAAAGAATTGCCTTTGAGGACAATAAAGTTTAAAGTAAGTAAGTTGTCGCAGGGCGCTGCAGGGATCGGGATGACCTCTAGAGGGCGACAAAACGCTGAACGCAGTACAGCATCTGAGGCGGAGATGACGAGGAAGAAGCTGTCAAAACACTGCAAGGCCGTACGAGTCGGCGTTTTAACATGAAGTGGTCAGGCTCAAAATTTGCACCTTACATCTACCGCCTATGTTGTTGAGGTAAGTTAATTTTAATTCAATAATGTTTCATTGAACCATATATTGCATATCTTAAGTAACGTTACGAAACGCCAGCTTGATAGGCTAACTTACCCATCAAAACATAGGCTACAGCAACGACATTATATAAAAATGAAGTCATGATAACTAGATTAGTTAAACTAGTCTTTTCTGTTTAGTTTTTTTTTAATAATTTCAACTATATATCTACTATTTACATTTTTTTTTGTATCAAATCGCTGATCATTAGACGCCCCTTAAAAACAACTGTCATGGTAACCATAGTTAAAGGTTACCTGCTGTAAAACCATGATAAATTATTTAATATTACATTAATATAACTATTATATTATAAATTAATATTTAAAGATGACAGTGGTGGCAACTGCCAAGTACTTCAGTTTTATTGTAGTATAGAGACGTGTGACTCCCAATGTTAAGAATACCTGTCCATCAATTATGCTTTTTCATGAACCGTTTCTTAAAGAGACAATTTTCCCCTAAAAAGGACATTTTTGTCATAATTTACTCACCCTTATGTTGTTTCAAATACAAATGACTATCTTTTGTGGAAGGAGGAGATATTGTAAAAAGCTCTCTGTTTTTTGTTCACATATTGGAAGTCAGGAGTAACCAACACTTCAAAATATACAGGTTTGGAACAACATGAGGGTGAGTAAATGATGACAGAATTTTTATTTTTGGTTGAACTGTCCCTTTAAACATTTACATTTGGTCCCCCCAAGTAAGGGGTATTTGACTACACACTTGACAGTAATTGTATAATACTATGGCTATACTTTTGTAAAAAAAAATTTTTTATTTACAAAGTCCATTTTTCCTCACAGGAGCATGTAAATCTCTGCAATGTCTCAGCCTGAGCTTCCCAACCCGAGCCCCTGGGGCTTGTCTGAGTTTTTGGTCCAGAAGAGGCTTCTTGGTTTTGGGGCACTGCTGGCCTGGATGCTCTTGTTCCACCTCCTGGTCAATGTTTGGCTCCTCTGTGTCTTCACAAGCCTCTTAGTGGTCTTAGGCGGTTGGCTGGGTTCCAAGGCTGTCCTGGACTCGGACAGCGTTTTTCATCTGGAGCGTTTTTTTAAGCTGGAGGAGATCCCACATAGTGCAGAGAGCGAGCAACAACTGGAAGATGAAATCCAAAAGACAGTTGGCAAGATCATACGTGACTTTGTCACCTCATGGTACGCCACAGTTTCCAGAGAACAGGAGTTTGAGGATGAGGTGCACAATGCCATGATCTCCATGGCGTTGGAGCTCAAGGGTAGAGCGGCAAGGGTCGACAGGAAAGCCTTATCCCAGAGGGTGTTCGATCTATCTGGATGCCACCTTCAGTGCTACTTGAGTGCCAAGGAAGGACAAAAGGTGGATAAAGATGGAGATCTCTGGAAGGCGTACAGCAAACTCTGCCCACCTCATCTTGCTCTTCAGAGCTCTGCTGTCGAGGTGAATTACGTACGGGCCATTGTAGATCTCCTTCTACATGCTCTTGTACCTCCTCCACATTTAGAAACCCGAACAGGTCGATTTGTGGTGGGCGAACTTATCACGTGCAACGTTCTTCTGCCTTTAATTACAAAACTGTCCGACCCAGACTGGCTAAACTTGTTGATTGTAAGCGTCTTCACTAAATCCAGCGAACCAACCCCAGAACCAAAGCCAGTAGAAGTTCAGGCTCCATCCCAGGTTGTATATACTCAAGAAAACGCACCACAAGAACTTAAGGTTCCTTGCGTTCTGACCCTAAAAGTCATCCCAGAGATGCCCACAGTAACGGAGGCCCCAACGCCAGAACTAGCAGCTTATGATGTCATCGATTCCACTGAACTTTATTCCCCACACAACCTGGAGGAAGACGAACCACGGCTGACAAAGCCATTTCCGTTGGGTTTTAGCCCCAGAGATTATTTGCGACTCGGCAAGCCCAATCCGTTCTATCAAGAAACAGACTCTGATTTGGAATCCCCTCTGACGGACTTCAAGCGGAGCTCTCTGGAATCGCTGGTTCTGATTGGCACAGAGGAGACCCTTTCGGAAAGACTCATCGATTGCACCACTCCAGTCGACACTCTGTTAGATCTCGAGGATGAACTTCCAACTTACACTAATTCAATGGAGAAGGAGCTATCGGTACATTCTGCCGGTGTGCCCGTGGAAGAGTCATCTGGACTCTTTTGCACTCTTCAACCATTGGAGAAAAGTAACTCGAGCGTAGACCAGCCTGGCCTGGTGAACCCCAGTGAGCTGGCTTTGACTGCGCCCACCCAGGTCTCTTCACCAGCTGGGATGGCGTCCCTGGCACCTTTCAACTTCGAGCCCCTCGGCAGCCCAGAGGGTCCTGTCATTATCCAGAACCTCCGCATCACTGGCACCATCACTGCCAAGGAGCACAGAGGCACTGGCTCACATCCCTACACCCTCTACACTGTAAAGGTGAATTAGCGCTAGCTTTACTCCTTTGGCTGGTATTAGATATTTAATTGTTTAATTGTTTATTAAATTGACTGTGATATATATGATGTAAACTGTGAGTGAGTGATAGTTTCCTGAAGTGGAGAGTGCTTTTATGAAGTAATGCCTCCATGTGTTATTCTGTATATATTTTATGAATTTTTGTAAGTATAACATCAATCTGTCCAGGGACAGCGGGTGGAAATTAGCATTTTTTGCTATAACCTGGCACATGACATCTCTTCTTCTTTAGACTAATGTTTTTTTGTGCATTGTCCCTGATCAAATAAAGAAATAAATTAAATTAAATTATGCTCATTTCTCCTAATTTTATATATATTCCCTAATGCTGTCATCTAACGCTCACTCAAAGTTCATCTTTATCGGCCATAACATGAAAATAATTACTCCAGTCTCTGCAGATGACAGATAGGACAAGGTATCCAATACATTTTTACCACTTTGAGCACATTTTAGGGGAAATCATACTATGAAAATCATGAAAATCTCCAGTTCTGTAAAGCTTAGGGGACGGAGCTTAGCAAAAAGTCATTATAATGTTTACTTGATAATGATGATGTGTTTGTCTTGCAGTATGAGACAGCCGTGGACTCGGAGAATCCAGAATCTTTGCAGCCCTTTGCCTATCACACTGTCAACCGACGATACAGTGAATTCCTCAACCTTCAGACCCGTTTGGAGGAGAAACCAGAATTACGCAAAATTATTAAAAGTGAGGAGAGCAGTATAGTCCTTTCGGTGGCAAAGTTTTCCAATACAGTGTTTTGATTAGTTGTCTTGTTTTGCCAAAATGTAGATGTGAAAGGACCAAAGAAAATCTTTCCTGAGCTTCCATTTGGAAACATGGACAGTGACAAAGTTGAGGCCAGGAAAGGTCTATTGGAGACATTCCTTAGAGTACGTTCTTTGAATTTCTTTATTTGAATATAAGTGACGTAAACCTGACAATATTTAAGTAGTATTCCATTCCACACAAATTCTTTTAAGTGTTCAATTTCTGTCTTCTTTTATTATAGCAACTTTGTGGCATTCCTGAAACGGCCAACAGTGAGGAAATGCAAGAATTTCTCGCTCTAAACACTGATGCAAGAATTGCCTTTGTGAAGAAACCTTTCATTGTTTCACGCATTGACAAGGTACTTTTCAAAATACACATTGCATGCTTTGACTGAAACCTTTTACGATTTGTGTTCAATACGTCACTTGGCAGATTGTGGTGAATGCTATAGTGGACACCCTGAAGACGGCCTTCCCTCGCTCGGAACCACAGAGTCCTACTGATGACATGGATGCAGAGCCTGATGGGAAATTGTCCACTGACAAGAAATCCAAGTATGGCAAGAGAGCTGCTTGTTTACTGTCTTTCTGAATGTTTAGCTGTAAATAACAAAACACGATTCTCTCTTCATTTCCAGGTCTAGAATGAGGTTCTCTAGTAAAATTTCCCCTGCTCTCAACGTATCTGACATGAAACCCAAAGTGCTTTACTGCTGTGATGAAAGCAGCACTGTAAGTAGCATTCATTATTAATTGTTCTTTTCCAACGCCTTTAAGAGCAGAAAGCGAACAAGAAATGGAAATTTGCTTTTCTTCAATTCCACTCTGATCTGCAATAGTCACTGTGCAAGTGCAACAACAGGGAATATGCATTGATTTGCTGTTGTTTTTGAAGATTTTCAATGGTTTCTCGTTGAATGGATTGGAGAGCTTCATCTCTGAGAAGGAGCGATTCGAGGTTAACGCACCAGGGTTTGATGGTGATGCAGAAAGAAGCGGAGCCCTGGGACCCAGATGGGATATGAAAACCTGCACATGTACCAAAGCACAGTTACAGATTGAACCTGCCTTCTGTGACTCTGGTAAGGACTCTTGTATAAAAAAAAAATTATGATTATTATAATAATACTTGAGGTCAACTCGATGTATTGATGCAATCACAGCTGTTCTTGTGTTAGCGGCTTACTTGAGTGGAAATTTTCTCAAACAAATACCATTTATATGATATTTTTGCTTTAAAAAAAATGTTATTCTCCTTTTCTATTTGAAAGAATAAATTAAATTAAATATTTGGAATGTCATGAGGGGTTACTAAATGGTTGACTTTTCCTTTAAGCCAGTGGATCTCAACGTTTATCTCAAAGAACCCCTGTTTTCAAAGAACCCCCCACCCACCCCCGAACTGTATGTTTACAATAAAAAATATTGAGATGAGAAAAAGAGATATTATTTAATTTTATATTTCCATTGTGTTTTTTAGCATTTTAAATTAGATTAGGGTTAGATTATTTTAATATACTAATAATAATGTATTCATTTAAATACTACACCCCCCTTGGTAGTTTGTGGAGGTGGAGAATCACTGCTTTAAGGACATTGGATAAGTAGAACTGATCTGTGATATAACAGTATGGACAGCAACTCTAGAGGGCAGCATTGTACTTTCATGTGTGTCCCTTGCATTGACAAAAACCTGACACAAAGCTTTCATAGTTCTGTTCAGGGAAAAATAAACAGTCATTTCATGTTCCATTTTATAGAATCCTGTTAGTGATTGGATCTGTCCATATTTTGTATTTTAGTTTACTCGTGGAACATGCTGTGCTCTTTTTCATTCATTCATTCTGGAAATAATTTTACAAATACATTTTCAAAGATTCTAACCGAAGTTTCTCATAGTCATTTCCAGCTGTGACTAATTAATTTCTATTACGTGTCGTGTACCTGTGTGTTTGTGTACAGTTAGTGAGACGGCTCTGTCTGACCAGGCCCTGAATATCCTGTGCGTGCTCTTGAAGGATCAGTGGAGCTGGCTCTGCACAGAGAACATCCAGAGGACCATCAGACTGCTATTTGGGACCTTCATAGAAAGGTGGGTCATCCCCAATAATTCTCTGTGTAATTAATCTTTGGTCAATCTTTCTTTTTTTGGAGAGGTTGTCCAACACATCTCTCATCTACGATGTGGACAGACAGAAGTGTGTGTTTTCAACTTGAATGTCATAAATCTGGACCATATATACATTCAAGATGCTTAATTGCGTGAAGTGAAAAGTCGCACATTTCCTGAACTTTTGTTTGCCAGCTAGTCCATATAATGGCTGAAAGCTTGTCTACTTTATAGATTGTGTCCTACTGCAACATTTGTATCAAAACTGGACCAGGATTTTAGGCCATGATTGGCTCGAGGCGAACCTTTCAGTAAACCTCTAACTCTATAGACTGGAAACACTGGCTCACTCAAAGAAGTTTTGCATTCTGCTCCGTTCAAAGTTGGTGGAAGTTTGACCGCTTGAATTCAAAGAACAAACTTTAAAGTTGCAGGAAAGTGGAGTAGATTGTATATTTTTAGTTTCAAATTTATTGTTATATGTTTATTTATGTTCTAAAAAACACACTTGAGAGCATTCGTTGCATTGTCCGAAGAAATTTGACATGCTTAAGTCTAGTGTGACTATGACATCAGTTCATTAATGTTTGAAATTAATAAATGGCTTATTATTTACGTATTATATATTACCGTTTCCAAGTTTGGGGTCAGTAAGATTAATACTTTTGGATGTCGTTTTTTGTATAATTTATAATTACAAATTTTTATATATATATATATATATATATTTAACAGTATTACTGTTTTTAATTTTTTTTAACTGTTTAAAAAAAAAAAAAAAAATCAAATAAATGCAGCCTGGATGATCATAAGAGACTTCTTACAAAAACATTACGAAAATCTTACCGACCCCAAACTGGACTACTATTTAAAAAATAATTTTGGGAAACATAAGGCATTATTCTATAATGATTAATAATTGTGTAAATCTGTATTATGCTAAATTATAAGCATCCAATTTAGTATAAAAATGTCTTCACGGTTGGCAGTCCGATCAAATAATTAGTCAAGGAAGAGATTTCATATTTCAGATACTGCTCATTTTGGTAAATATAGTACAGGTCATCCTTATATTTTATGCATATTTAATGTATACATACTGTGCGCATACTATACACTGCTGCATGTAGTATGATGGTTTGTTTTTCTAAAGATAGCCACGACACTCAACAGGGCCTAAAGACAGACACGACCGACAGATGGATTGACTTAATGAGGTGTCACCTGAAGGCATCACTCATTCCGTCCCCGAACTGCTGTACAATTGTGTGATCATTCTTATTTTTAAACATGAATATAAATACTTTATTAAACAAGTTGTGTTGTGCGGACCGATGACAACTTGATGTAGGAAGTGAGAACTGTGTGTTTTAAAGCTGTCAACAGGTGGCTTTCCCCCATCCTCTGCTCCACTTCTCTTGGAGTAAATAACAATCATTGGACATCCCACAGAGCCACCTTTGGTTTCAGCTCGCGGTTGGAGCTTTCTTCTTTCCTTTAATTAAAGCACTTGGAGTTTTTGCTACTCTGTTTAGCGATGACCGCATGTCTGCGATGTGCAGATTTATCCCGTGGCACAGTAATGCCTTTCTAATGCAGAGAGGTTACTGAAACCTTGTGCTAAAAAAGAAACATTTTTTTCTTAGTTTCTTTGAAACCATCCCGTCCATCCTTGAGGATTCAAGCTGAAAGGTCAGGCCTCACATTAAATCACACACGCAATCCCTCAGCTCCATACGCATCTGTTTTGCAGATCCTCGTGGTGTGATGTCTAGCCATTTCAAATGACTCGTTTGTGCGGCGGTGTATTAAACACCTGCTAGCAGACTGGCTTCCTGCAATGTTCTAGCTGATGGCCAACAGCCATCAGACGGGAAAGCTGGAGTGAGACCAGTGTCTTTCCTAAACAGTTGGATAGACCCAGTGTCTCAAAGGTGTGCCTTTTCAAGCTGATCAGTATAGTGGTTATTTGTTCTCTGTTTGAAATAAATGTTCACAATGGTGCCATTTAATCCAGATATGTACAGAGTTTTCTTTTTTATCCACACATTTAATCTTCATTCTGCTTTAAACCAGGGTTTCTTCAGCCTTTTTTGAGGACAAGGACACTGTGGTGAATCACGTGTCTAATTCAGTTGCAAAGTTTTGTGGAAGTTTGTGTGGTTCCTTCTCTTAAACCAGTTTAGCACAATACTGCCCCCAAGCCGATTCGAAAGATTGCATTGGTCATGTCAATCGGTAACGCTTCCTTTTACAGTACAGTACTTACGTGCACTTACAGTGTACTTACCTAGAAAGTACTGGCTAATATAAGGTAAGTACATGGGTTAGGGGTAGGTTCAGGGTTAGTACCTAGTTATTACCCAGTAATTATAATTACTATAATAAGTACATAGTAAGTACATGGTTAACAGGACTGTAAAAGGAAGCGTTACCGTGCTGAATTCCTACGTAACGCCGAAACGAGTACTAAGCCCTAATCTTAGTTTCCACCTTATTTGTAACTTGATATGCGATGCTTCCATTGTCTTCTGCTTCCAGTTCTTTTAGCTGTACAAAAATAGTCTGTTATGCTGCTTGAAATTGCAAACTGGTATTTGTATGTTTATACCATATTGAGGCATGTCCCTCATTTTGGTAACAGGGTACAAAAATGCAAATCTCATATAAGATATATTCAAATAAAAGTAGAAAAAAAAGAAGAAAATAGCTCGACTTCATGAGGTAGACAAGCATCATTTTCTGAAGGTTAAGGACCTCCTTGTGACATTTGCCTGGGAAAAGAATTACTTAATGTAAGTCAGGGGTGTCCAACCCTTAGCAGGGCCAATGTCCTGCAGTTTAGCTCCCACTTAGTTCCAACACACTTGCCTGGAAGTTTCTAGTAATCCTGAAGACCTCGGTTAGCTGGTTCAGCTGTGTTTAATTGGGATTGAAGCTAAACTCTGCTGGTTAGTGGCTCTCCAGGAATAGGATTGAACACCCCTGATGTAAGTTTCTTAGCCTCAGCTATTTGTTTCAGCAATACAAAAATGTCCTGAAAGGTACTGTACTTCTGAAAAAAGCAGTCCCATAAAATATTCAGGTATACTGGGTAGTCTATCAGACAATTTTGCTAAAATCAGTCGATTAAAATTTCACCCCTGCCACGTGAATTGGCCCACAGATTGTGTGCAGTGACACACTACATGCCTGACAGGTCCTGTTGAAATGTCAGCGTGTGATTGTGTGGATACGAGGGAGACACGAGGGGGCCAGCTGCTGCTCGTGCCTCGGTGAAAACACCACATCGGACATCATTTGAGGGTAAGAATTAGTTTACTTATCCGGCATCTGCGGGTCTTCTAGCACCGAACCGGATGTCTTTGTCTGACTAATTATCCAGAGGCAAGCCATTTCCATCTGGAAATTTACACATTCTGCCACACAAACCTCGGGTGATGAAGGCAGCTGATATACATTTTTACAAAGTGACCCAGAATGAAAGCAAAAGGACCTGGATGAAACATTGTTGCTTTTATTAGCAATAGCAGTATCGTTTCAGTACAGTCACAATATGGTTGTGGTTATATCATTCAGTTGCCTCATGAGAATTATTTTTAAACATATGCCTGTGCCCTTGATAACAGCAGTGGAATGCTAACTATGATCGAGAATATTGATCCCTTATTTTAGACGGCTGCTCGGAAATGACTGCAGAAACCCGCACCGGCTTTGACTTAAAGTAACTCCTGAGACAAACATGTGAACTGTCTGTTCTTATATAATGGATTCCTGCTCCAGCACTAACACACCTGTCTGTAATTTTCGAGCAGACTTTAAGACCTTGATTATCCGCCTAAGGTGTGTTTGATTAGAGTTAGATCTAAACTTTGCATGAAGGTTGATGTTCACAAGAGGAATCGAGCACCCTCTGGTTTAGATTAGTGATCATGTGTGTAATAAAACCACTTGGTGGCAGTATATACTGTCAAATGCTGATTGAAGATGTCAAGAAACGGTTGTAGAAATTATGTTTGGATTGGCTTTTCTCAAATGTTCTTTTCACAACATAAATGTCATATGTTGTGATTGTTTTACAGGACATGTTCATGATAGATGAGTTCAGTTGCTATTTTTTATAATCGTATTACATGGAGGTTTTCCATAAGTTTTCCAAGGAATAGTTTACCCCAAAATGAAAATACTGTCATTATTTACATAACTGTTCAAAAGTTTGGGGTTGATAATTCTTTTTTAATTAATACTTTTATTCAGCAAGGACACATTCAGTTTATCAAAAGTGACTGTAAAGACATTTATATATATATATATATATATATAAAACTATAAAAGCAATACATTTTACTGAACAGTAGTGTACTACCCTTTATTTTCGTCTCAAACCGGCATGACTGAAAGAAATGATAAATTCAGGAAAAGTCAGTGTTGTTTTGGATTTCCATTATATGGACAAAAACATTATTAAAAAAATTCTTTATTAGCATTCGGCAGAAGAAAGAAAGTCATACAAGTTTGTAATGACACATGCAGGCCTTTTCAATTTTGAGCGAACTATCCCTTTAAATCTCTCTTTCATAGTGTACCCTTAAATAAATAGTTCACTCAAAAAAAAAATTTCGCCGATTTTAAACCTGTTTGACTTGCCTTCTTCTGTTGTATAAACTACTTTTATGGGGCTTTTTTAGTGTTGTGAAAAGGTGTGAGAAAAAGGCTTGCTTATGATGGTGCTAAAGATGCTATGATAGATTGTTCTGCTGTGCCTGCCTATATTTATTTCATAAACAGGAAGTTTGGAAAAGGCTTGAGTTAAGAAAGGCTGCCAACCATGGTTTTATTGCACAGCAAAACATTTGTCTCTTGCTGTTTCTTTCTCTTCCTCTGATCCATCATTCTGCAGACTTTTTAATTTTGGCTGGTTGTACTGCACACTACTGTACTGTAAACTACCCGCAGTCCATCCTTGGGTTATGCTTGGTTAT